AGTAGCTGGGATTACAGGCATGTGCCACCACGCCCAGGTAAGTTTGTATTTTTAATAGAGACGGGGTTTCTCCATGTTGGTCAGGCTGGTCTCGAACTTCCAGCCTCAGGAGATCCACCCGCCTCCGCCTCCCAAAGTGCTGGGATTACAGGCATCAGCCATCGCACCTGACAAGTTCCGGGGTTTCTGACAATGTGTGCAAATGAGGTCCGAGGTGGCTGTCAGAGCTGAGTCTGGGGTCTCCCTGGCACCAGGGGAGCGGTGACGAGGGGCCACCGTGCTCATCCAGGCACCCAGAGGGCTTTTGAACCCATGTGTGCCTACCGTTCCATTATTGGAACGGTAAGCATCTGGGAGTTATTTACATCCCATGGCCCCAGGTCATCTGCAAGGTCTGATTGCAAACACTGAAAAAACGGCCACCTCTGGCATACAGGACTTAAGTGTGGCAGCCCCAGCTGCCCGCCCTCCGTAAGGTGAACCAGGAGAGACGTGCATTGCACGGCGTGAGTTTTTAACGGAGGGGTGGCCCCCACCCCTGGGAGATTGCAGCATTTCACGGCTATGTGACTCAGTGGCTGTGCACGGGCCTCTTCCCGGGGGATTTGGACGCCCGGTCTGCTCTGGCGTGAGGACGCCATGCATCGTGGAGTCTGTGTGGCCTTCCCCCTCGATCGCGGCCCACACAGACCCTCCCGGCCACCTCTGTTCTTCCCTGACAACAGGAATAAAAGGCCAGCCCGGCCGCTCACCTGTTCAGAAGCAGCAGGAGGAGCAGAAGACACAGGTGACAGCGTAGAGGGTCTCCAGGTGCCTCGGAGCCAGGCACTCACGGGGCCAGACAGCAGCGTGCCAGCCCTGGCCACGCAAATCGCTTGTGGACGTGGCCGCTGTGTGCAGACGCCTGGGCCTGCGATAGCATCTCTCCAGCAAGTGGCAACGGTGCCCGTTTGTCTGCGTGGCCCGCCGACCGGCTGGAGCGACCGTCACCCGATGCAAATTCTGCAAACTCCACCTCCGCGCAGGCGACCACAGCTTCCACTCAGGCTTAGGTGGAAAGGAAGCCCGTTGTGAAATTTCCTGTGTAACTGTTGGCGTGTGCACAGCTGAGCCCGCTGCACGGCCGCCCCGCCGTGGCACCCAGGGTGCCGCCCCTAAGAAAACCCTGAGAGGGAGGGGAAGAGGGACAATGATGCTCTCACATTTTGCAGCCAGCGGTGACGGGCCGTTGCCTTTCCTACAACACATTCCTGTCTCTTCTTAAATTAAAAAAAATTATAATAAAAGAACGGAAAACGTTTCCTTTTGCATTCTAAAGCTGTGCGGATTGCGACGCCTTTTGGTGCAAGGCCAGACGGTGACAGGCGGTGAGATCTCGGGCGCTGGCCGTGCAGGCGCTCAGAGCTGGTCACGGACACGGCAGCCTCGTGTCCTACTCAGCGTCCCACAAGGATTTCACACCCGAGAAGCAGGTTCTCTCTCTCTCTCTTTCTTTCTTTCTTTCTTAAGTCTGACTCTGTCACCCAGGCTGGACTGCAGTGGCACGATCCTGGCTCACTGCAACCTCCGCCTCCCGGGTTCAAGCGATTCTCCTGCCTCAGCCTGTTGAGAAGCTTTGGACTACATGTACCCGCCACCACACCTGGCTAATTTTTGTATTTTTATTAGACACGGGGTTTTCACCATGTTGGCCAAGATGGTGTCAAGCTCTTAACCTCACGATCCGCCCGCCTCGGCCTCCCGAAGTGTTGGGATGGCAGCCGTGAGCCGCCGCGCCTGGCCGGGCAGCAGATTTCTATGCACTGCCATCCTTGTCCGGGAAGAACAGAGGTTGATTCTTGTCACTTGTCGGAGGAGGGTGAGAGGGAGGGCTTGTCAGCAACAGGGAATGGGTGAATATTCAACCACTGCTCAGGGAAAAAGACAGAGTAGAATCTGTCAGGCCAGGCCAGGCAGGGCGGGTCACGCCTGTCACCCCAGCACTGTGGGAGGCCGAGGCGGGTGGATCGCTTGAGGTCAGGAGTTCGAGACCAGCCCGGCCAACATGGAGAAACCCCGTCTCTACTAAAAATACAAAAATTAGCGTGGTGGTGGTGGGCACGTGTATTCCCCGCTCCTTGGGAGGCTGAGGCAGGAGAATCACTTGAACCCAGGAGGCGGAGGTTACAGTGAGCAGAAATGGCACCACTGCACTCCAGCCCGGGCAACAAGACCAAAACTCTGTGTCAAAACAAATAAATAAAAATAGGTAATGGGGTAGATAGACACCACGGAATATTACGAAGCCATGAAAAAGGTTGAAATCACGTCCTTTGTAACAACTCGGTTCCAGCCGGGGGCCATTCTGCAAAGTGAATTAATGTGGAGACAGAACACCAAATACCACGTGTCCTCGCTTTTAAGCAGGAGGCAAACACGGGGTACTCATGGATATAAAAGTGGAAACAGCAGCCACTGGGGACTCCTTGAGATGGGAGGGAGGTTGCTGATGAAGACCTGAAAGGCTACGTACTGGGTGCTATGCTCAGTAGCTAGGGGTGAGACCATTCATGCCCAAGATGTCGGCATCACACGATAGACCGTGTAACACTCCGGCATATGTAAACCTAGACTCCAAAATAAAATAAAAGCCGGGCGTGGTGGCCCATGCCTATAATCCCAGCATTGTGGGAGGTCGAGGCGGGCAGATCAGCTGAGTTCAGGGTTCAAGACCAGCCTGGCCGACATGCTGAAACCATGTCTCCACTAAAAGTATAAAAATTAGCCAGGCGTGCTGGCAGGTGCCTGTCATCCCAGCTACTCGGGAGGCTGAGGCCGGAGAATTGCGTGAATCTGGGAGGTGGAGGTCGCAGGGAGCCGAGGTCGCGCCATCGCACTCCAGCCTGGGCGACAGAGCGAGACTCTGTCTCAACAACAGCAAAAGAAAAAATGTGACCTTGGAAAAAATATGTTGAAAAAAGGCTAAAAGTAAATAAAAAGTTGAGGCACCCTCGTGAAATTGTGCAGAGATGGCTGACTCGCTCACACAGAACCGAAGTCACTGTCGGCCTGAGTCACGCCTCCACGGCGCTCACGGAACACACGTGCTTCCTCCGAAAGCCTCAGCAGAGCCTTCTTATGAGTCGCGTTGTAAGAAAGAAAGAAAAGTCCAGAACACTCCCTGTTGCTATTACCACCATCATTATTATTATTAATTTTCAAGACAGAGTCTCGCTCTTGATGCCCAGGCTGGAATGAACTGCTGTGATCTCAGCTCACCGCAACCTCCGCCTCCCGGGTTCAAGCGATTCTCCTTCCTCAGCCTCCAGAGTAGCTGGGGCTACAGGCACATGACACCACCCCTGGCTAATTTTTGTATTTTTAGTAAAGACGGGGTATCCCCGTGTTGGCCAGGCTGGTCTCGAACTCCTGACCTCAGGCGATCCTCCTGCCTCAGACTCCCATAGCGCTGGGATAACAGGCGTGAGCCACCGCGCCCGGGTTATATATTTCTCTAACACACTGCGGTCATCGTGGGCTGAGGGACGGTGGGCACCTCTGCAGCGTGCGGGGAGCTGGCGTTTTAAACAGCAACCGCCAACAAAATGCACAAAAATGCAGCATCCGTGGCACGCCACATACCCCCAAAAGGACAGTGCTTTATGACGTGAGCTGACCCCCGAAGGCGGGGCCCTGTCCTGTCTGGCCACAGCTGCGGGTGCGTGCACACACCGGTCTCATTCTTCACGACCGCCGGCAAGTGTCCGAACGTTTGCAAAAGTGTCACGGCTGCTGCTTCTGGCATTTGAATAAGTGTTGGTGCACGGAGGGATTCACGGATGCAGAATTCAAAAATAATTTGGATTTCCTTGTTTTCTCACACTGTCACCCGGGCTGGAGGGCAGGGGTGCGATCGTCACTCAGCGAAGCCTCCCACTGCTAGCCTCAAGCGATCCTCCTGCCTCGGCCTCCGAAGTAGCTGGGAGTGTAGGAGCATACGGTCACACCTGCCTAATCTTTAAAAAAAGTTTTGTGGGGGGCCAGGTGCGGTGGCTCACGCTTGTAATCCCAGCACCGTGGGAGGCCGAGGCAGGCGGATCACGAGGTCGGGGGTTTGAGACCAGCCTGGCCAACATGGCGAAAGCCCGTCTCTACTAAAAACACAAAAATTAGCCAGGCATGGTGGTGGGCACCTGTCATGCCAGCTACTCGGGAGGCTGGGGCAGGAGAATCGCCTGAACCCTGGAGGCGGAGGTTGCGGTGAGCCGAGATCGCACCAGTTCATTCCAGCCTGGGCGACAGAGCGAGACTCTGTGTCAGAAAAAAAAAAAAAAAAAATGTGGGTCAGGTGAGAAATTCTGATTATTAATATCCTACTTTTAAATTTGGCCCTTTTTTTTTTTAATGTTTTTAAGCAGATAGTTAAATTGTATTTTCCCAAAGAAATTATGATTAAATACTGCTCACGTTAAAATATTAATATCCTAAAGGTAAGTTTATATGGTACTTAAAATGCATTATTTAGATTTGCAGCATACAATTTTTAAAAAGTTTCCCCCCAAAAAGATATATCATGGCATGAGTCAGTGTTCTCCAGGGGAAAGAACCAACAGAATATATTTTTGTAGACACAGAAGACATAAAGTTTACATACATAACTTTTATATTGTACAGTTGTAATATTTAGAGTATAAATATGTAGAGAATGTATACATAATATTTACAAATTATATAAAAGAAATATATATGCAAAGATAACTTTTTAAAAATATATATATTTTATTACATTTTAGGTTTTGGGGTACATGTGAAGAACATGCAGGATTGTTGCATAGGTACACACGTGGCAGTGTGGTTTGCTGCCTTCCTCCCCTTCACCTACATCTGGCATTTCTCCCCACGTTGTCCCTCCCCAACTCCCCACCCCCCACTGTCCCTCCCCTATTTCCCCCACACAGACCCCAGTGTGTAGTGCTCCCCTCCCTGTGTCCATGTGTTCTCATTGTTCAACACCCGCCTGTGAGTGAGAACATGCGGTGTTTGGTTTTCTGCTCTTGTGTCAGTTTGCTGAGAATGATGGTTTCCAGCTTCATCCATGTCCCTACAAAGGACACGAACTCATCCTTTTTCATGACTGCGTAGTATTCCATGGTGTCTATGTGCCACGTTTTCCCCCTACAGTCTATCATCCATGTAACTTTTATCAGGGTGTGAAAGGTTTATACATATATATCTTTTGTTATGTATATAGCTTCCGGTAGATAAGGACATATACATATATGTTCTTTTGTATAATTTATAAATATTATTTATACATTCTACACATATTTATGGATATATATGTATGTATTTTAATAATTATACAATATATGAGACTTAGTGGAGGAAATTGACTTAGAGTGTCACGAAGACTCAGCTGTCCCACAATCTGCTGTGTGAAGGCCTGAGACCCAGGAGAGCTGAGGGGGTGAGTCCCAGTGTGAGTGTGAAGCCCTGAGACCCTCAGCTCTCCTGAGTCTCAGGCCTTCACACTCAGGGTGGGACTCACACCCTCAGGTCTCCTGGGTCTCAGGCCTTCA